AATATTGTAGAAAAATAAACAAAGATACAGTTCTTAATAAGTTATGGGTAACCACCAAAATTGTCTTTTATTTTGAAGTAGAACTTTCACATTAGCAGAGATAAATTCCATCCACTCAAAGGATAGCAGAAAAAAAAAAGAAAGGAAAAAATACAGTTAGAAAGAATGGAGTTAAAATAGTAGAAATAAATTCCAGTAGAATAAATTATAATATGCATATAAATACATTGAGATCACTGATGGAAGGAATCTAATGTTGGTTAAAAACAAACAGAAAACCTAAATACTGAAGTATTTTGTCTACAGAAGATAGAGTTAAAAGGGTTGAAAATGAAGGGTTGGAAAATTATATACTGGAAAAGTACAACTGAAAAGAAAGGATAGCAATTTTAATATGATGTAAAATATAATTGAAGACAAAAATCATGAGAGAAAAATACTTCTTTATAAATACTTTTTCCTTTTTATAAAGAAATAGATCAAAACGAGAAAATAATTGTAAAAATATATGCAGTTAAAAATATAACCCCAAACCAGTTAAAAATGGCAGAATGATAAATAAAAAGCAATATAATGATGATTATTATTAGAAAGCTAAATCTATTACATAGTGAGTTAAAATGAAAAAAATATTTCTGTTTGACTCTGATAGATCAAACTGATGAAAATTAAGCAAATTTATATAAATATTTATTTTATATCCCCTACAATCTTTGATCCATCTAGGGGCAGAAGAGACTGAGTTTTAAAATGAATAGAAAAAAAAACCAATTCCAATAAATGAAATATTCAGAAGTTGAAGTCGAACCTGTATCTAACCTTAATGCTATATAGTGTCACCAGCCTTCCATGGGCTGTGTGTGTGAGCTATTGTGCAATCGTAGCCATATGTGGGGATAGGCCTGGCATTGCCAGCTCCCGGTCAGGGAGTGATCACATGATGCAGGTGAGCCTCCTCCTCAAGCTCTGCCTAAGATCCCATGCAGCACCTGAGATGGGTGTGACTTACCAAGATGTCAATCAATCTGCTGACCACAAGACATCATGAAGCAAGACCCCATCCTTGAAACCTTATCCGCTGCCTGATTTGAAGAACATTCTATTGAAGCTCCTTTGTTAGTATAAAATAAAGAGATTCTGGGGTGCACCTTTCTTTCCAGCGTGGAAACTGACCTTAAGGTCACAGAGCCATCCTACCTTTGGTTTGAAAACTACTCTCTATGTCACGTGATTTTCCCCTATTTTCTTAGTTTAATGGTGCTGCCAGTTTGTCTCATCTACACGGGTCGTTGGTGAGAATATAGTTTGAAATCTGTTCTAAAATGAAAACTAAAAAAAGATATATTTAGCCTGGTGCGGTGGTGCATGCCTATAATCCTAGGGGCTCCAGAGGTGGAGGGAAGAGAATCATAAGTTCAAAGCCAGCCTCAGCAACTTAGTGAAACCCTTTCTCAAAATAAAAAAGGCTAGGGATGTGGCTCAGTTGTTGAGCACCCCTGGGTTCAATCCTAGGGACCAATACTAAATACCAGCACCAATACCAATACTAGGTACACACACACATATATACAATGTATTAATATATTAATTAAATATTAAATTATATATAAATTAATTAATGTGTGTTTAATGTATATGTGTAATTAATATGTAAATAATAAATAGAAAGTAAATAAATATATTTAATATATAAATATATGAATCATATATATAATACCATATATAGTTATAGTTATTTGAAAACAATTACAAACTTCTAAGTAGTTCTTGGGTTGAAAAGGACACTGTTACAGGAGTGAAAATGCTTCACTGAAACAGCAGGTTCATGTTAAAATTAGTGGGATACAGATAACATTGTACTTTGAGCTACACTCATTGCTTTAGATATATTTATTAGAAAACAATAAATATGGAAAACAATTCAGATAAGTAAAATGAAATGAGAAAAAATGAGATGAGAAATCAATGAAGTAGAGAGCAACAATCCAGAAGCAATAACAAAAAAGATCAGCAAAACCAAAAGCTGGCTTTTTATTAAAACTGGTTAATAAAAGCAAGGTAGAAATAAGATACAGAGTAAGGAAGGAGATATGATTTTAGTCACATCAGAAGCATTAACAGAATATTGTGAGCTATATACTAATAATTGTGAAAATGTAGACAAAATCAACAAATTTCTGGAAAAAACAACAAAGTCCAAATGGGCAAAATAATTGAATAAACCAATTAATATAAAAGATATTTAAATAGTAATAAAATATTTTCCTCTCCTGCACCAGAGCCTAACAATCAATTTTACAAGAAAATAGCAAAAAAAAAAAAAAAAAAAAAAATCCAAGAAACAGAATTCTAACCTTACAAAGTTATTGCAGAAAATAGAAAAAGGAGAAAGATTTTAATTCATTTATATGAAAAAGTGAACCAGTAATTCAGCAAATTATAGTCTTTTTGTTTTATGAGTTGCAATGAAAAAGCCTTAAATGTTTACTGAATCCAAGACTTTATTAAAAATAATACAATATGATTAAGGTAAACAATGTTAGGAAGGTATCATATTAACAATTGTATTAATTTTAGTAGCTTACTACTATAAAGCAGTGAAGATAAAAGGAAGTGAACTATCTTAATAGATGCAGAAAAAAATAACAATAAATTTCAAAATATTCTAGATAAAAATTTTAAAATAAACTTGATAAAGACTATTTACTGAAAACCTACAGCAAACCTCATGCTTAAATGGAGATAATTTCTAAGCATTTTTCTATAGGACTGGGAGCAACACAAAGATGCCTACTATCATGACCACGTGTAATGTGTATTAGATGCCCTTGGTCAATGAAGTAAGCATGAAAAATAAGTAAGAAGCATAAGTATTGAAAAGAAAAAGAACAAAGTAATATTTATAGTTGACAAAAATCATTTACATAGAAAGCACAATGGAATCAATAGGTAAACCAGTAGCTCTAATGAGAAAGTAAATATTTTGCTGCCACCACAGACTATTAGAAAAGTAATAAAACATAAGATATAATTTATAACAACTAACAATAATTAGAAATTAATCTAACAGAATAGGGGCTGGGGATATAGTTCAGTTGGTAGAGTGCTTGCCTTGCATGCACAAGGCCCTGGGTTCAACCCCCAGCACCACCAAAAAAAAAAAAAAAAAAAGGAAGAAAGAAAATAAATTAATCTAACAGAATATATAAGATTCTATGGTAAAAATTTGCAACTCCATTAAACAGCAAAACTTATGGCCCATGTAAGTGGTTATAGCATGTTTACAATGGCCAGTGCACACTGAGGAGTATCATGTCTCAGTTAGAAGTACTGAATTAGATAGCTATAGTATGGAACAGGTCAGTGTTGCATTAAAAAAAAAAAAAAAGGAATAACAGATTTAGAGCAATAGCACCATACCATGTACATAAATGCTAAATGTATGTGTCCATAGCCAATACTTTATAGTCTGCAATGGTAATCCATGTCCAAAGTCTTATATCAAAATTATAGAGCTGGTTCCAGAGGGGGAGATCTTGGAATGGGAATTAGGGATGAAGGAAAAAAAAACTGCAATAAAACAAAAGAAAGTTGTCGTATGGGCTAATGGCAGTTGTGAATTAACAATTAAAGTATGTGCTAAACTCAACTCTCCATACCAAAATAAAAAACAGAAAGAAAGAAATAGATAGATTTCCACTATAGTTATTAAAGAAGAGAATAGAATATAATTGTCCTTGATTTAGAAGTCTAATTTCTTAGCATTCCATCAGTCTAATTTCTTTTCAGGACAGGAATCAACTCTCCAACATCCTTGGAATATATCATTGTCTACTTGAACCACAACACTGGGCAGACTGAAAGGTTGTAGGATAGACCCCGTGGGTTCAATGTTTTTATATTTGACTAAAACCGCTCTCCTATAAACACCCAACCATTGGTCCAAGTTCTTTGGCCTGTCATTGTATCCAGTGAGTCTGGATCATCTTTCAGAGCAGCACTTCAAACACTTGAAATAAATATTAATACTTTGGCTTTCCTCTTCCAGTCCCACATACCCAGATTTTTGGGTTGTTCTTCCTGTGATCAGTTCAGGATCTTCTAAAAAATGTCAGGGAGTCATAGTGTGATGTTAACATCGGCTATTAAATGTTGCTTGCTTATTTGAGAAATGTACTGGAAACTCACCAAGCATTGTGCAAGATTCTATGCATGGGTGCTTGACAAAAAGGAAATTGCTTCTAGGAGAGTTATAATTTAAAGATCTTGAAAATTGTCTTGATATACTGGATTTTGAAATGTATAAAGCTCAAGAAAATACCTACTATCCAGAATGAGTAACCACATTTTATATACTGATTTATTCATTCATTTGAGAACTATTCATTGAATATATTTTCTTTGCCAAGGATTGCTATAGTCGCTGGAAACTGGAACGTGCTTCTTAATACCATAAAGAATGAATCAAAGTTCTAGAACTGAATCACAGGAAGCAGGCTTGCTTCTGGTGGCTTTTACTGAACCAACCAGAAGAAATTGGCTCCCTCTGAATATGGCTGCATTTCACTTCTATACTTGGTCATAGCCTTGGATTGCTGTGACCCAGGAACTCATTACATAATGATTCACATTCGGGAACTCCAGCCACATGTCTGCTGCTCATGTCATCTGAAAATCTAGAATTCCTCTTTTTAATAACTTTGAAAGGATGGTCAAGGGTGAAATTAAATCACTGTGGTTTAAGGATGGGCATTGAACTTGGTACATTCCAAACTAACAAGGTTCTAACATTTTGAACTAGTAGAAAAATTCTAGAGGCCTTAAAATCAATTCAGTCATCTCTTCAGAAATATGCTTCTTAGTCAATAATGTCTACGAATAAGGCACAACTCTTTCAGCAAATATTTTTACACACTGTGGAGGATAAAAGGGAGACCCAAGCATGCTTTGATAATACTTAGAACCTAGGTGGGAAATGGGATCGCACATAGGAGAATATCTTTAAAGTATTTTAAAAAAATATTTATTTTTTAGTTTTAGATGGACACAATATCTTTATTTTTATTTTTATGTGGTGCCTCATGCATGCTAGGCGAGCGCGCTACCACTTGAGCCACATCCCCAGCCCAGGAGAATATCTTTAAAATACCCACATATATCACTATACAGAGCACGGAAAGGGCCTACAGTTGTGATCGGATACCTGTTAAGGAATTTTAAAATGGCTCCATTCTGACCACAGGTTTTCCTAACTTAAGATGGCTCCATTATACATGTGAAATTTAGGCTACGGTAAGCATGTTTATATTGCATTACAGGTTTAACTTTGATACAAAAGAAAACATAAATCCCTAAGTAAGGCAAGTACAGAGAATATGTTGGCTGTGTGAGGAGAATGAGACCCTGATCCCTTACCGTACACATTTCCAGCACTTCTGGATTCTCTAACTCCACTGAACACAACCAAGTTCTACAGAGAGACTAGGCCAGTATGTATAACCCCTGCCCCTAACCCCAGCTACTTTTTATTAATGAAGAAATAGACTGTGATTTTTGCAAAACCACAGTCACTGGACTGAAACTCAGGGTTCAGAACTCATTGCCAAGTGCCCTTTCCTCTGTATGAAGCTGACAGAAAGAGGATGTCAACTGTGATGTCGTTCCTTTAACGAGTCAGGAAGAATAGGGTCAGGTGTCCCTTTCCAAGAAGTGAAGAGGGGCTTTAAGCCTTCTTGTAGTGTTCGTCTTGAAGGCAGGGATATGAGGAGTGATTTCTCTGAGGCTAATAGAAGATCTTCAGTTATCCTGACTGGGAGATTCTGAATTGGCCACGAGAATTTGTCATTCCAGACCTACACTTTGCAGGTGAAGCAGTTACCAACTGTGAGAGTTGTTGCCCCATCTCTTCTTTAATTTGCTTTGTCCAGAGTTCTTATCTTCACCTTTAAGGTAAGACATTCACATAGTCGTCATCATTGTTCTCTGGGGGAAAAAGCAAAGGACCATCCATGAGACTTCATGCCCAGAAGCTATATTAACCAACCCCACTCAAGGGAAAGAAGACCAGCATTTTTCTTTTCTTTTTTTAAGAATGAACTTTTAAATAAATGATCCTAGGATCACTGGATATTTTCTTTTTATTTATTTTTTAAACTTTTTCCATATTTTTATTGTTGTTTTTTAGTTAAGCCACCTTGGTTTTTTTTTCTTTTTTGGGGAGAAGGGGGTATTATTGTTGTATAGTTACACATAACATACAATATAATTTGGCCAATATCATTCTCCTCCCATTCCCCCTCTCCTGGTCACTTTTCTCTATTTTATTGATCTCCTTTCAATGTTCATGACCACAGCAATCTTGGTGCCATATCAAAGTGACATCTTCAAATGGTGGGGGTACCACAGAGCTTTTCTGGAAAAATAGGGGGTTCCTTTATAAGCCAAGCTTTAAAGTTTCCAGCACTAGATATCTGCATTCACCATGGAAAAATGAGTGCCTTCATCAGAAGCTTGCTCTAAAGAGGCAAAGGCAACGGGAGGAGGAAAATAAGGTCAATGGGAGATATTTCCCTTTCTGTAGATGAGTATTTGGGAGCTCACTCTGCAAGTATTGACCAAACATGGAGAACTGGTGGGGAGATTCTTGCCCAGGTCTTGGGGAATATTTTTGAGTGATTCTTTCTCTTCTTGGGTTTTGTGACCCAAGGCTCTATCCTCTGTCCTCCCTGGCTAGCATATCTGATCTCACCACCATCACCTGCCCACTGGCAACTACATCACTTTCCATTGATAATGTAGCCATACATTTAACCAGAAAAGATCAGGATTAAATGTCTCTGGAAGTCAAATTCAAACTACATTGCAACTGAGAGGTACTAGATTCTGTTGAGAGCAAATCTTAAGGGTGAGGGTAAGCAATAGTGGCTGCTAGTGATAAGATTTAAGACTTCTCAGATAGATTGTCTGCTCTCAAATTTACCACTATGGTTTCATATCTTTAGGGATATATCTGAAATATTTGTCAGCTATCCCTTTATAAATGGATGCTTATTAAATATTGGAAAAAAATGTAAGAGAATAAGTGTGAATGAGAGAGTTGAAGTGATTTTCTTATTGGAAAATCTGTCCACGTTTTCATTTATTCCCAAACTTGAGCAGATTGCATGAGGTCGCAGAATGAATTCAAAGCCAGCCCAGTACCCTCTCTTACTATTTTGGCTGCCCAAACACAGCAGTCCACCACTTGTAGGGGCTGGAAGACATTATTTTTCAATAAAATTGAAATTGCACTTAATAGGATGAAGCTTTTCAGAGGTAATGTCATGGGAAAGGGCATGTATTTGTATTGATTCTGCCAAGAGAGGACATTGGTGGAAATAGGTTGAAGGCTCCTTTCTGATCCCACAGGAAAGCTTTTATCTTATATACCATCCAGTTTAACTTTCAATCTTCTCCTTCTTAAGCTGGGACTGCTTCTCTTTATTGGCTTTGAAAGGTGAACCACCAGACCTTGGTTTGGCTTTTCAAACTTGGAGATCAATTCCTTTAGGCTTGGAAAGATCTGTTTTGGAGTACCTTCCAAAGTCTGCAAAAAAACAAGAAAAGAAGTCACTCATAATCTGCAATTGTGTGTGAATTGTGAAACTTCCTGAAATAGCGGTTCTCAGGGTTGCTTCTGAGAGTGGACAAACTGAAAACAAGAGGCCAACAGCTCATGTTTAAGAGCTCACACCAACTGCGATTCATAAAGACTGTGTTTCTGAGTCCAGCTCTGACTTGAGCTACTCTGAGTAAAGAGGATTTACAATCAAGAAATATGCAACTTGGACTGCAGTGTCAAGTCAGCCCTATCCTTGGCAAGTTTGTCTGGGGCCAATTCTTCTCGTAGATACACTGTAAAGGGGACTGCTCTAAGAGCCTATTTCAGACTTGTGCCCTACTGGCAAGCTTTGCTAGGGAACTAACTGAGGTGGACTTCTGATGGGAAATGCAAAACATGCAATTTATATACAGGATGAATTCAGAATCCCCCCAAAAGGTTGCAATTTAAATTGAAAGGAGGAACATCAACTTGACTCAGTAAAATTGTGAATAGTTGTTTTCTGTTTGTCAGCTGTAAACCAAATACTATTTTCTGATACAATCCTATAGAAATAATTTTTAAAAAAAGAATTTGCTTCCTCTACCCTTATGTATTTAGTTATCTTGATCACCACTGTGGTTATCATAGGGCCACTGTGTTGGGCTACAAAGAAGGGTGTTAATCAGGTTTTCTGACATGCAGTGTTATGATAGTGATGTAGGCTGACACTGAAGTTGTGTACAGGAGGTCTCCATAACACAGTCACTTCAACCCATCATCCACAGCAGGCCCCTGAAGACAAGGCTTTCCTCTTAGAATGCCTTCAGCTGGTCACATCTTGGGTTCAAGAGATGACCTCAGGTTTTCCTCTCCCAGGTTTTGCCTTGATCTGCAGGAGTCCTTATGTGTTCTCACCTGAATCTTGTAGTACCCATGTCTCTCTCTGAAGATTCGGTATGTATAGACAAAATTTCTAAACCTGTGAAAAGATGACTGTATGAATCATAATGTTCTTATATACAAATCGAGGCAACATGTCTCATTAGATTTTTTAAATTCTTTTTTAAAATATTTATTTATTTGTACTAATCAGTAATGCAAGACAGCAGAACGTTCTTTGATTCATTGTACTCAAATAAATGGAGCACAATTTTGGACTTCTCTGGTTGTATTCTCACCTGATTTTATATGCAATGCTTTTATCAATCTTGGATCCTGAAAGAAACTAGTCAATATTAAGCCCTCTCATCTGAAAGAATTTGAAAGACACAGGGGCTTTGAAATGGGGAGCTCTATTGTTAGGATGGAAGTCTTGACTCTGGCAAAGAGAATAAGAAGAGAAAATTTACAGCTCCAGTGGTCTTGGTGCTTCACCCTAGCTCTTTCACCTAGCTCTAGGTTGATAGAACATATAAAATACCATTGAGCTATGCCCATGCTATTTATCAATGATTTCTCATTGACTGCATTAGAGAATGTTGGGAATTTTGTCCAAGCAAGTGATGTATTGTGCTCTTGTTTCTCAATGCAATAGGAGTCACTGGCTAATCATCTAATCATAATTTAGATAACGGACCCGTTTTAGCAATTTTCCAAGCAAGAAATAAAATTCCATATTGAATTCTTCAATTCTAAGATATTATCAATGGTAAGATACATTATTAATTTCTAATAGCTTTCCTGGAGAAGAGTACAAACATTAAAGGAACCCGTCAACTATTGGACATATTCTGATTTCACAGAACATTACAATGTAAAAAAAAAAAATAGAATCAAAAACATTGAATGAGGCTCAAACTTCCTGATGCCCCGGCCCTCCACCACCCATACACCTATGCCAAAAAATGAAATGATTCATTTTTTATATTCAGTTTTTAGTTATAGGTGGACACAATGTCTTTATTTTACTTTTTGTGGTGCTGAGGATCAAACTCAGTGCCTCACACATGTAACTAGGGCCAGCACTCTACCTCTGAGCCACAACTCCAGCCCTGACTCATTTTTTTTTTACTGAATTGGTAAGTCAGGTATCTATTTCCAGCTTTAAGGTACAAGTATCACACTATAATTCATCACTAATTGTCTGGAGGTTTTGGTAATTGATTTCAAATCCTGATCCTTTCTGGGGGGGGGGGGGTCTCATGAGGCCAAAATAAGCCAGTAAGTATCACATGACAAGTGTGATATAAAACCAAAAAGTTATATGACTGTCCACGTGTGACAAAGTATTCTAGACTGGGAAGAGGTCTCAAAAATGTTTTTCCAAAGAAACATTGTTTAAATTGGGATCTGAAAACAAAGTCTGTAATTGCATTTGGTTAATTCCACAGTTTTTGTTTGCTTGTTGTTTTAGAACCTTGTTATCATATAACCTACTAAATTCTTAAATGTATTTATTTTAAATTATCTAAGGTAATCCTCACTAGAGGACTATGAAAAAAATAAAACACATGGAGGTGCTATGTTAATTTGATTAAAAGCCAAGATACAAGACAGACATTGCTCAAACATGCTCTTATTTTTTTGCAAATTAGAAAATTTTAAAAGGAGTAACAAGCTACATTACATTAATGCTTTATAATAAATTAACTTATTGAACTTGTGATACCTATTTTTGCTTATTTTGGAAAGCTTTCCAAAAAACACTATGAGGCTCTGGGTGCGGTGGCACACACCTGTAATCCCAGAAGCTCAGGAGTCTGAGACAGGAGAATTGTGAGTTCAAAGCCAGCCTCAGCAAAAGTGAGGCACTAAGCAATTCAGTGACCTTCTGTCTCTAAATAAAATACAAAATAGGGCTAGGGATGTGGCTCAGTGGTCCAGTGCCCCTGAGTTAAATTCCTAGTACCAAACAAACAAACAACAACAAAAACAAAAAACCAAACACTGTGAGATTACAGAGCAATGAGTTTAGTAGGTTAGTATGTATTTTGTATGATTATTCATACATGATATATTTATGACAAGATTTATATGAATTTATGACAAGATTTACATGGTGTGATCTGAATGTTTGTGTACCAAAATTCATGTAGGTTTCTTCTATTTATTTATTTTTTTGTGGTTCTGGGGATGGAACCTAGGGTTTCATACATGCTAGGCATGTACTCTGCCCCTGAACTATACCTCCAGCCCCCTAATTCAGTAGAAACATAATCTCCACTGTGGTGGTATAAAGAGGTTGGGCATTTTGGAAAATGATTAATTCTTGATGACAGCTATCATGAATGAGATTAATGTCCTTATAAAAAGGCTTCAGAGAAGAGGAAAAAAGAGGGAGAATACTCAAATTACTAAAATATGTGATGAAAAAGAAAATATCACAATGGACATGACTGAAATACAGAAGACAATTGGAAATTATTTTGAAAATTGATATTCTAATAAAATAGAAAATATTGAAGACATCAAAATATTTCTAGAGACATAAGACCTACTCAAACTGAATCAGTAGGTCATACACAATTTAAACAGATCAATTTCAAGAAATGAAATAGAAAACACCATCAAAAGCCTAAAGCCTACCAATCAAGAAAAGCCCAAGACCAGATGAATTGTTGGTCGAATTCTACAAGACCTTCAAAGAAGAATTAACACCAATACTACTCAAAGAATTCCATGAAATAGAAAACTCATTCTACAAGACCAAAACCAGACAAAGACATGTCAAGGAAAGAAAGCTTCAGACTAATATCCCTGATGAACATACATGCAAAAATTCTCAATAAAATTCTGACAAATAGCATACAAAAACATATTAAAAAGACAGTGCACCACAATCAAGTGGGGTTCATCTCAGGGATACAGGATTGGCTCCACATATGGAAATCAATAAATGTGATTCATCATATCAATAGACTAAAAACAAGAATGAATGACCATCTTAATAGATGCAGAAAAAAACATTTGACAAAATACAGCAACCCTTCATGTTCAAGACACTAGAAAAACTAGGGATAGTAGGAACATACCTCAAAATCATGTAACTTATATATGCTACACCCAAGGCCAACATAATTTTGAACAGGAAAATTGAAAACATTCCCTCTAAAAACTGAAACAAGGCAAGGATGCCCTCTTTTACCATTTTTATTCAACATCATCTTTGAAACTCTAGCCAGAGCAATTAGACAGAAGAACTTAAAGGGATACAAATAGGTAAAGAAGTGTTAGAGTCTGTAAACAAGTCAGGATGGCTCCTGGCATGTTGCCAGAGGGAGTGGTTTGTGAAGCAACGCCAGCGAGCCATTAAGTGTGGAGATTCCTTATTGGTTGACTGCTGTATCTAGTTTATGTTAATTAAGATAAGCTGTGTGGAATGTATATATACCCCTCCTGTCCTACAATAAACAGCTCCCACTCCTGCTGTATCAATGTACACAAGTTGCTCGTCACCCCCCCGGTTATTTTGCCCAGCCAGCCGGGCTGCGGCAAAGAAGAACTCAAACTATCACTATTTACTGATAACATGATTTTATATTTAGAAGATCCAAAAAATTCCACCATAAAATTTCTACAACTAATAAATGAATTCAGCAAAATAGCAGGTTATAAAATCAACACCCATAAATCGAATACATTCCTATACATCAGCAATTAACCCACTGAAAGAGAAATTAGGAAAACTATCCCGTTCACAATAGCTTCAAAAAAATAACACTTGGGAATCAATCTAACAAAATAGGGGAAAGTCCTCTACAATGAAAACTACAGAACACCAAAGAAGGAAATTGAATAAGACCTTAGAAGATGGAAAGACCTACCATGCTCCTGGATAGGCAGAATTAATATTGTCAAAATGCCCATACTACCAAAAGTGTTATAAAGAGCTAATGCAATTCATATTAAAATCCCAATGTCGGGCTGGGGATGTGGCTCAAGCGGTAATGTGCTTGCCTGGCATGCATGCGGCCCGGGTTCAATCCTCAGCACCACATACAAACAAAGATGTTGTGTCCGCAGAAAACTAAAATAAATAAATAAATAAATAAATAATCTCTCTCTCTCTCTCTCTCTCTCTCTCTCTCTCTCTCTCTCTCTCAAAATAAAATAAAATAAAATCCCAATGTCATTCTTCAAAGAAATAGAAAAAGCAATCATGAAATTCATTTGGAAAAATAACAGATCCAGAATAGACAAAGAAATCCTTAGCAAGAAGAGAGAAGCAGGAGGCATCACAATACCAGACTTTAAACAATACTATAGAACTGTAGTAACAAAACAGTATGGTATTAGCACCAAAACAGACACACAGACCAATGGTACAGAATAGAAGTCAGAAACAAACCCACACAAATACAGTTATCTCATATTAGGCAAAGGTGCCAAAAACATTCACTGGAGAAAAAAATAGCTTATTCAACAAATGGTGCTGGAAAAAAATGGAAAGCTACATTGTAACAAAATGAAATTAAACCTCTCTCTCTCACCCTGCACAAAACTCAACTCAAAATGGATCAAAGGCTCAGGCACTAGAACAGAGACCCTGTGCCTACTAGAAGAAAAAATGGGCCCAAATTTTCACCATGTCAGCCTAGGATCTGGCTTCCTTAACAAGACCCCTACAGGGCAAGAAGTAAAATCAAGAATCAGAAAATGGGATGGATTCAAACCAAAAACTTCTTCTCAGCAAAGGAAACAATCAATGGGAGAAAATCAGAATGGGAGAAAATCTTTACCTCGTGCACCTCAGATAAAGCATTAATCTCTAAGATATACAAAGAACTCAAAAAAAGTTAACACCAAAAAAAAAACAAAACCCCAAATAACCCAATCAATAAGGGGACTAAGGAACTGAACAGACAATTCACAGAAGAAGAAATACAATCGATCAACAAATACATTTCAAAATTTTCAACATCTCTAGCAATTAGAGAAATGCAAACCAAAACTACTCTAAGATTTCATCTCACTCCAGTCAGAATGGCAGCTATTATGAAGACAAACAACAATAAGTGTTGGTGGCGAGGATGTGGGGAA